CTTGCTTCCTTGCTTCCTTGCTTCCTTGCTTCCTTGCTTCCTTGCTTCCTTGCTTCCTTGCCTGGCTGGCTTGCTTGCTTGCTTGCTTGCTTTTTGCGGCCTTTTATTTTCTTTTTTGTTGCTGTTGCTTTTGTTGTTTTTCTGCTCTTGTTGCTTCTATTACTTTGAAAGTTGTGTAACTGTGTCTGTATATGTGTATATACTTTTGGGTTACATTTGTCGCTCTGTCCTTTTGTCGCTTTTGTTGACTTTTCTGCACTTGCTGCTGTAGCAGGCAGCGTTGTTAGGATAGTCTGTCAATACACGTGCCCTGCCTTCTTCCAAATCGCCTCTCAGGGTAGGGATCAATCACATTTTAGGTATTTTTGTCTACTGTAGATGCATTTTGGTACAGTATCTTTTCGCTCTGGAGGGGGCGCTGCGCTCCCCTCCAGCACCACGAAATCTGCACCATTTCTTCCACTATGCTGCGCCTGCCACGAAAACTCATTTTGCTAGAAGTCGACCACGCTGCACTTTGCCTGCTACGACAACTGTTTCTCTTAAGTGTCAGCCCTGCTGCCGAAATAGTCCTTTTAAAGGTCAGCCGCCCGCAATATTGCGTTTCCTCTTCCTGGACACCCAAACTGTTAGCCCCAAGGACTTTGAGAAGAACATCCCGAATTAAAACACCTTTTGTAAGTGGCCAAGTGGCTTTAAAGCACTGCCTTCACTCACCATGCTGCACCTTCGACGACCGGTCCCTCCTCCGCTTGTTCCACGCCGCACCGCGTTTCTGCCATGCCGTAGCCCAGGCTGTCGGAGACCTGGAAGGCGCGTGGCCTGGAGCCCTACGCAGTGCTGGGCCACAGTGTGCCTTGGCAAAGGTTGATGGCGAGTGGCGAGGACGGCCGTCCTGCGGCGTGGGAGGGCTTCCATGCCACAAAATTAACACCAAAAAATCCAGCATAGTTTCCCCCTTGCAAAAACACAAACATGGACGGTGAAGAGCATTTCAAGGCATGGTCAGGTGGAAAACGGTTGAAGGTTCAGAAATTCGGTGTTCAAGATGTAGAGTATCTAAAGATCCAAGGCAGAGAAGATTTGGGCCAACTTATTCTGGCCAAGTCCCGATCTTGCCTGCACTAAAAAGATATTCATCGGTCCACTGACGTTTATAGCCATCTTGGATTTCACAAGAGAAATCTGAGACTCCGAGACCGAGACTTGCATGCAACTTGATCCTTCCTTGGATGGCTCAAGGGTGGGCAGAAGGACAGACTCTGAGGTGAATTCCGCGGATCGCTCCAAGTTTCCATCGAATTCGAATGACGCTCCTGCTTGGTGCCCTTTGCTTTTGCCTTTTGGGCAGTGGAGCCTGCCTGGACATCAAAACCGAAAGCTTTGAAGATTTGCTTCATGCAGGCAACGCAGGAGCTTTGCAAGGCGTGGGTGCCTGGACCAAGATCTTCCAGTCCTTTGGTCGTGGCGAGCGTATGGATGCAGATCAGCTGAGCAAGCTGGCCAAGGTGCCTAAGGAATTTGGGCCAACCTCTCAAGTCCAAGTGGATCCCAACTTTGGCTTGCAGCTCGGCGAGGAAAAGATCCAAGAGCTTCGCCACTTGAAGGACAAGCCGGAGGACCTCATGAAGCTCGTGAATGAGTCAGCTGGCTTCACAAAGCATTTTGATTTGTTTTGTAATTATATACATATGCTGAATGCTGAAGCCTTTTTTGTGTTAGGGAGGCTCGAACGTACTTTAAGTTAGGTTCTTGACGATTGCAGTGTATATTTCCTTTCAGTGCAGACTGGTTGGTTGTTGAAGTGTTTGATAGAAGAAACATGTTGAGACAGGAACCCTTTGGTACAACAGATGGCCGCCCAAGACCCTGCGATGAAAGAGATCATCAGCAGCCCTGAAGCCTTGCAGACGCTCTTGAGCGACGAAGCGCTGGAGGAGCTGCGACGGCAGAGCTGTGCGCGGACCAAGGGCTGTGCCAAGTGAGGGTGATTTGGCTTCTGAGCAGAAGAGGTGCCTCAAACGGCACGGGGATTTGGCCCTGGCGATGCCCGGGTGAAGCATGAGGCAGAAAACCTGAAGTGCAACAAAGAATCTATTTGCAAGCGATTGAGAGAAAATCAGGGCAACGAAGCCGCTGCTGCCGTGACTTTAGACTCACTGACCGTTGGACTGTTTGCTTTGCTTCATTTGCATGTGCTTTTCTTTTCTCCCAAGGTTGGGGAGTACACGGCTGCAGTGGTGGCCGGCAGCATGTCCTTGGAAGACGGCTTGCGATTGGTAGCCAGGCAGTGCGGCGGCAACAGCTGTTGGATTTGTGATTGATGATCAGCATAAGACATTCACATGGAGCCAGAGCATGACAGAGCAAGTCCCAGGTCTCCTGCCTTCAAACTTCTTGATGTGATCCACCCTCTATATACTGTGGCTGTTAGGGATTACAGATAAAGCACGCCAAATCGACCCCAGTTGGTGACAATCCACTATGATTGGGAAGATGTTCACAGACCGCACTAAAATGTGATTCAGTTTCTGCCACAGCTCCTGAAGCTCCACGTTCTTTCCACCAACCCATGACATCCCATGAGAAAGCGTTTGAGCTGGGTCCGCCAGACCGTGTCGCCCGCTTTGCTAGGCGTGGTGAGCTGATCGACCAGAAGTGTGACATTGGCACCTTGGGAGAAGTGTTGTGATGGAAGACTTGTGGAAGGAGCCTTTTTGAGGGAAAAGTGGAGACGGTGGAGAAGCAAGAGTTGAGAGTTGGAGGATCCAAGATTTCTACTATTGAGGACACCCTTTTTGAGCCACAGGCACATACTGGACCAGACCAACATCCGGTGTTCCTTCAAGTGGTATCTACGGAGAATCTACAGTCTACCGTGCTTCAAAACGCAGAATGAACCTTCCCATGGACTTTAAAGTTGTGAAAACGGGTTCCCACACAGCAAGGGGTCAAGATGAAAAAAAATATAAAACAACAACCTACTCAAAAAAAACTCAGTCCAGAAACTCAGATTCCAAAGCCACTCAAATGAGAGACTCAAATTGGACTCAGATTGGACTCAAATTGGACTGAGATTGGACTCAAATTGGACTCAGATTAAACTCAAATTGTACTCAAACATGGTTTTTGAGTTGTTTTTGAGTTGCTTTTGAGTTTTGTTTGAGTTGTTTTGAGTTTGTTTTTGAGTTGTTTTTGAGTTTGTTTTGAGTTTTGTTGTTGAGTCTGTTTTGGATTTGAGTTCTTGAGTTGATTATTTTTTGATTATTTTTTGATTATTTTTTGTTTTTTATTTTTTTCAATGATTTCAGCCCTGTGTGGGCACCACGTTATCCTAACTTTAAAGCGAGGCATTCGCTCTTTTGATCATTGCAACAGAAAACGTTGACCCAAGACCCAAGATTGGTAGCAGCGACCCGGTGCACGTGGCGTGGAGGCAGCTCGATGCTCAGGTGTTGGGTCGATGGCCTCGATTTTCGCCAGCCGGGAGCAGGTGCAGAAGGCAGGAACGATGCTCGTAATTTGGTGCGAGCCTCGAGCCATGGTTCTTACGGTCCTTCAAGAGTACAGTAATTACATGATCGCATGATCGAAACACTATTGAAAGCAGACATGAACACTAGTTTGAATCTTAATTCTCTCTCTCTCTCTCCAATGTTTCAACATACAACCTGGTTGTGAATTGTGACGAGGATAGTCGGCTTGTTTGGTCGTTCCTGACCAATGCGTCTGATCCGAATCGTCCACTGGTGTGACAGTCGCCTATTGCTTTTCCTTTCTTTTTCTTATCACTATCTGTGTACTTTTCCCATGTTTCGAGTGGAGCTTCTCATGAAAGGCACACTTGTACATCCACCACCTGATGTTCAAGAACCTTTTTGATCCTTTTTGAAGTTCCGAACATCAGGGAACACCTGACTGCACAGCGCAAATTATGTTGTTTGTTGCCATCAGGTTTGGTGGTTATTAGAATTCTTTCATTCACCAGATCAGTTCTGGACACCTGAACAATCAACAAGACAGGTTGCATGCCCTTTTCTGTCCTAGGAATAGTAGAAACTAGACATCGAACATGGAACACACACATTTGGCAAAAGGAATATCTCCAAGCAAACTTAAACATGGACCTCTGGAACACGATGATCTTATACAAACCGCTGCTTGTCCACCATCCGTTTCTGTATGGCCTAGACTCCTAGACCTATTGGGTCCAACATAGCCTTCGTGCCCCACCAGGCCTTGCAGGAGGTGCAGAAGGACCTGAAGGACCAGTGCGTGGTCATTGCGGCCTGGGCTCCCCGGGTGATGGTAAGGGTAGCGGACACCGCAAGATGTGTTGAGGCATGAATGTCGTTTTGAGGATGTGGTCTCCTCAAGATCCTTGGCATGTTCATCGCCAGGACCACTGTCCCGTGTCAAAGCTACCTTGCAACATGGACAGACACACCGTTTACTTTGGGGTTATACTACGTTGTGTACTCATATATATATATATAAAACTCCTGAGTGGCAAAACCTGGCAAGAGCTTTCGTGCACTGGAGGGTGGAGTTCCAAGGCCATCAATGGCCCAGCGCAGACGGTGGTCTCTGGACACAAAGGGGCTGTAAAGCACCTTGGCACGAAAGGTTCAACTTGTTGGCAAGGTTGGGAAGAGTTCAAATCTAGAGCATGAAGTGATTCTCGCTGCATTGCTCCCAAGGCAAATGAATCAGTCTCAAAAGAATCTCCATCTTTCAGAGGAAAGGGCGTGAGAATGACTTGCGAGCGGTGTGCAATATGTTCTGTTGCAGGGCTATCATGTCACGCCGAGGCTGGTTTGCGACAAGGTGGGTGCACAAAGCAAAGTGCCGCTGGGATGGCAAGACAGCTGCCGCCTTGTGTGAGTCTTTGCTTCAACAGTGCCCAAGATTGCTTTGGATTTCAGAAGAAATTATAGATTTAGTTTGAACTGGGGATGAGGACTTGGGAACAGTGGGAGGTGTGAAACACGTGTTGTGCGTGTAGGGATCCTTGGAGGTTTTTGTTTTGCCCAGGTCACAAACCACCAAACTAGCTGCTGGCTCGAGACCTTATAACACGATTTGATGCAAACGGATTCATGCGATGCCAGTCAATCCATGTTCTTTGGTTTTGACCAGATTGTTTCGCGTTTGTCAGGAGAGAACTAAGGACTAGTGACTTGCGATAGTGCACTGTTGACTTCGGTGACTCCAAGGGAATCGACACACTCCTGAACCATTTACCCAAAGTGTTCCTTCACCACTTGACCATCAAAGTCCAAGCAACCTCACCATGGCAACAGTTACAGTTGGCCCAGCATGATGCCAACAGCTTCACAGCCTGTCGCGTACATGTGGCTGCTGAGGTTGAGCATCCCTCACGCTATGCACTCGCCCTTGATGGCGCCTGTGCTGCCTGAGCTCCTGGAAGCCGCGAAGGGCTGCAAGCAGCTTTGGTGGCATTTCGTGTGAAGCAAGGGCTGCGCACGACGAGGGGTCTTTTTGGGAAAGGGTGGGCAAACACGGCTTATATAGAAGCACGTGTGATGTTTGTCTGTTCATTTTTGGAATGGGCAGGAGCTCAACACTTGGGACGATGGGGTTTTCTCGCCAGTAGGCAGCCACAGCTACAGCCTCCGCTCCCAGTTCCCGAGGCAATCTGAACTTGGCAGGTTTCGAGGGTCTTGCGAGGTTGAAGGAAGAATTGGGGTGATCCGCGAACTGCCCTGAGTCGTAGTTATTTTGACAAGCCCTCAATACAGAGCAATTCCCAATCGAAGGCTTGATCGCCTCTGCTGATTGGCCCGCAGGTTGCAGCCACCTCGGAAAGATGTGCACTTCATCTCCAGTCTCTTGGGGAAGGAGGTCTCTAAGGAGCTCTCAGTTTGTAGAGATTCTGGTGGAGCGTTAGCGTTGGCCTGTCATTCGCACCTTTGGTGGAAATGACCTCGTCTGTTTTGGTGCATGAAGCAGGCTTCCATCCAATTGAGGAGATCCTACAGAGGGTGGTCCCCCCACCAATCACTCAACACCTTGGCGAATCTCCATATGTTTGGTGCGATGTTGTTCTTGGCAGGAGCTTTGTGACCCTGCGTACTGGTTGGGTGCGGCACTCAGGGTGCAGAGCTTGGGGTGATGGATTTTTCGTAAGAAAGATGAAAGCCATGGCTCCATGACCCCAAGCTGTTTGAACACTTGCTGAGTCTCAACGGGCTCATTGCAGATTTATGGCCCAAGGCTGTATGGATGTGGGTCGCCGCTGCCTACCCCTACAAAGATTTTAAAAACCCATCGATCCACTCAAAACATCTTAAAACTAGACTAGACACAAAGAACCACAGACCAGTATATAGCTCACATCCTGTGGGTGCATTTGTCCTGCTGGAGTTCACTGAGGATTTGTGGTGGCACGGGGGATGGTCAACACGTTCGTGTTTAGGGTCAATTGTGGACGGACTTTGGAGCACAAACCCCAAATAAAAATAGTTACTCATCATGTCCAATTCCATGTCCTGACGTGGGAGCAGTGAGTTTTGACTAGACCTCCCATGATGCTTTTTGACAATGTTCACCAGATTTGATGGTTCTTAGCTCATCGCACTGACTCATTTGTGGGGAGCTTGTAGCGCCCTCCATCCGGTAAGCCAGCTTCTGTTCCTGAGGTCATGACGAGGCCAAGCCTATGCTCTTTGTACAAGGTGGGTAGCATGTGGAGCCAAGCTTTCGCTTGAAGGGGTCCACTTATAGACTCACAGGCGATACAGAAAAGATATGATATGATACAGAAAGTGGACGATTCAATTTGGTTTACAGGGTTTGATAAAGTAAGCCACAGATAAAGGTAGGCGAAACACAGATATGGTCGGGTTCAGAGGTCCTGCAAACATGTAGACGTGACTGAAGTCTCGCGTGGGAACCATGCCTGTGGCGCAGTGCCCCGGAAGATGCGACTGATGTGTCCTTGTTACTAGTAGCTTCTTGTTACTAGTAGCTCTGCCGATGCCGCAGGGATGTCGAAACTCCGACAGCTGGGCTGCGATGCATTCCTGGAGATTGGCCCGCAGCCAGTGCTGGTGAAGTGCCTAAGCTGCAGTGCTGTCTACTGTGATTATTTGAACAACCATGAAGCAATGAATGACCGTCACCTGCCATCCAGCACCTCCCGGATCTCCCCTGACTAGTACTTGAGGGTCAGACCGGTTCTTGAGCTTAGGATGGGCCGCCGCTGCGTGGCGGAAGAGGCTGGTAGCACATGGTTTCGGACAGAAATGTGGAACAGGTTATGGTGCAAAGCATAGAACTAGTGGTTTGGTGCAAACTATCATTCTCGGAAGTACCGCCTATTGTACGTACCGTGGTACCATGGATAGACGTTGACATGTAGGTGGCCAAAGATTTGGAGACTTGCAAGTTCTACCATACTTTTAAAGTGACTTTCCATATATAGCGAGGATAGGACCTGCACTACTGTGCTTTCTGGTAGCCCAACTGGGATGACAAGACATGACCAGATCGCCTTTTTGCATTGCAGGAATCAAGCAAGTATATATATATATAAGTGTCGAGCAAACCCATCCACTTAAACTAGGTTTGATCTGCCATCAACAATGAACTGTAACTGCATTTTTTTCCGACAGAATTCAGAATGCATAGACATGACAACCAGCACATCATGTGAATCGCTCCTCATACACCTTAGAATCAGCGCAGGCTCATAAGGGTGGTTGCTTGATTCTCTGATAAGATCTCCAGGAGAAGGACCAGGAGCATTTGGAGAAGCTCCAGTGGCTTGCTAGCTTGCAGCCGGGACGCAACTGGGCATAAGAAGCCACAGTTCTACACTGCACATAAAGAAGTCTTAGACAAGCTTTGATGGGGTTCAAACACTATTTTGACATGCTACAAGAGAATAGTGTATGCCTAAGAACCTCTCTAAGAGTTGCAGAAATCCCTAGGTCACCCACTTTCTGCCACACACAGACACAAACACATGCCTACACTGAGGTGATGAGGTCGAGAGCATCCTGATTTGCACCCGCGCCTTGGGCGTGGCCTTCTCCCAACCCTCGGAGCTCACGAACCCGCAATCACTGCCATGGCGGCCACCGATCCTGCACCCATTGCGCCTTGGTGCGGTTTTGGCTTGGATGGCATTTCTTGTGAGGGAAGAAGGCTGTGTACTTTTTTTGTTCAACCCACAAATAGTTCTTTTTGATTCTTTTGTCATCACGGCATGTTCAATGAGAGGTTTGCTAGGAAGCTGGGAAACCGCAGGACGCTGGGCCAGGACGTGAGATTGTCCTGAAGTGTTAGGTTGGTAAAATATGAATCAGACTTCTGAGTCGCAGAGCCCAAAGTTTGGCTCAAAGCAGCTCTCGCGCACTAAGTGGTGCAATGAGCAGACGTGCCTTCCTAGTTGGGGTTGACGATTATGCTAAACAGCCTTTGAGGTGCGCAGTCGCGGATGCATCGGCGTGCCATGATAAGCTACGTAGCATTGGATTCGCTTGTACTGCTTGCAGGAATGCCACAGCATCCAAGTTTCTGCAGGAGATGTCAAGGTTTGAGGAGAAGGTCGAGGACTGTGACAGGATGAGTTTCTACTCTTTAATTTCAATGGCCACTGCGAGCTGGTGCACCAAAAGCCTACCTTGATCTTGAAGGATGGAGAGGGTTCACCAGACGGCACCGGGCAAGTGCCCTTCGACTATATCATCAGAAACTTCATGATGCTACGCTGCAGCAAAGACGCAGCGTTCTTGGTTCTAATGATTTGCTGCCGTAGCTCACCCTGTACACCGCAAGAGTTTGGTGAAAGAAGCCAAGTGCAAATACCTGAATACAGGGCCACTGATAGATCGTTGACCATTATTTGGGCATCGGCTCTCGGGCGTCGTGCTGCTGATGGTGCCGACACTTCCACAAGTCACTTCATGCGAGGCTTTCTTCGATCTATCGAGCGTCCGGCACAGTTGAAAGAGATGTTCAATCATATTTCCAAGTGCGTCCAAAACAGTCGATTGAACCAGAAGCCATGGTTTAGCTCAAACTCCACTTCTTCCGGGTCAGATTTCTTCCTGCCAGAGGTTTTTCTGAGAACTGGGCTTGCAGAAGAACCAGGTGCCTCAAGTCCCACATTGGATTTTAATTTACAAAATGTCTTGTTGGGCAGCTTGCTTGGAGGACCACCTCCACCCGGGGAGCCTAATGCAAAAGGCCCCCCTCAGATGCTGCCTGCAGCTTGTTCCTTTTTTTCGTTGTTTCGTTGGCAGAGTTTGTACGTGGTGCAGATGTTCTGCCTTCCAGATCCTTTCTGTTGCTGAAGTGATTGGCAGTGCTGTGTGTCAATCTGGAGTCTTTTTTCCGCTGGTGTTCTCCTTCAAACCTCTGGCAAACACTTGAGACAGAAACCGTGGTTCAGCTCAAACTCCGCCATGTTGTCTTTCAAGTTTCCATACGTGCGGTGGCTTTGGTGTCTCATCCGCAGTTGCCATTCTACTGTCAAGACGACCTTTTCTTTTGCCTATTGCCTGGGGAAGGCCATGGGCCAGGCAATGTCTTTGACCATTGTTATTCAAGACATCGTGTCCATCAAGCAGACCGGGTTCGTGCCACGAGGCGCTTCGGGACGCTTTCTTGGAGCATGTATGGGTTTCTGTAGCTTTTACCTTTCCCTTTACTCCCAGTGATCCAGCCTCAACAGGTCCATGGTGGATCGTTCCGCCTATCTCACGATTGCCTGGTTGCACATCTCTCTTTGCAATTGCCTGGATAGCTGGAGAGAGGACTTGCCGGACTTCTCTCGCAGTGGGCGGACTTTGCCCAGCCGCCTATGCGGCACGAGTTCATCAGCCCAAAAGGTCCGACGACAACGCAAAGCGCTAGGATGAGCACCTTTGTGTCCGGGATGACACTCTTTGTGCGTGTGCACCTCATTTCTAAGTTGACTTCTCCACTCACTTGGATGATCATGGATGATCCAAATTTTGGTCTGAGTCCCATCACATCACTTTCCTTCTTCCCGCTTCTCAGTGCGGTTATACATATATACACAGAATATAGGTTTGAGGACCTCTACTCTGACCAAACTCCTTCACAGTCCTTCCCTGTCATCGTGAGTCTTCACCTTGCAGCATCCACACAGGCTCGGCCGGCCGGTGGATGAGTTCCTCTTCGAGGCCAGCGAAGGCTGCACCGACCTGGAGGGTCAGCAGACGCTTGGGCATCCATGGAGAGGGGTTTCTGTTATCCGAGGGAAGCTTTGTTAGGTGCGCAGAACATCCATTGCCCAATAGATACCCCAAAAGGTACACGGTACACGCTTATTCGTCAGTCTCGGGAACCTGTGAGTTTTGACATTGTTTGGGTGTCCAGATGAAGATGCAGAGGAGTGTGGATGGACCAGAGGTCTGAAACATGACCTAGCAAAATAGATCAATACCTCAACATAATACCTCAACATTAGCACCACTCAGTTTTTTTGTTTCGCCATGCCACAACAATTCCCTGCCATGTTCCAAGATGCCCATCCTTCCAAGGTGGCGCAGAATTAGGAGAACTTGTTCATCAGAAATATGGGTATGGCACTGGTTGTCGATTGGCGTTTGGCCAGTTGCAACGGTGGGAAAGAAGAGGAAGTTGAAGGCGTCGTAGAAATGACTCATAGGGTGCACCCAGTAAGGCCAAAATGGTTCTAGTGACTATGTTTGATCAATGCCGCTCTATTTCCTAACCTCAGATCTGATCTGGGTAGAACTCCGGCTTAATCCCAGGTGCCACACCAATTCAATCCAAGTCTTTGACCTCTCACAGCTGAGGATGCAGCTCTTCAATCAGCACCAAGTCTTCGACCGTGTGGTGCTCCCTGGTGCCAGCCACCTGCTGCTGGCAGCTGCCGCACACCTGGAGCAGCTGGGCGGGCGCGCAGCGACCGCACTGGAGCTGACCGATGCCATTTTCGAGTGGCTTGTGACGGTTGATGGGCAGGGGTTGCTTTGTTGGGCTTGATGATTGTAAGGCTCTTCAAAGTTCTGCTCCCTTCCGGTCCTCCATCCCAGATTCTCGTTTCTCATGGAAGCTGCCCTCTGGTCCCAGTGCCAGAGTTCATGGATGATGCAAAAACCGTAAACCAGTTGACATTCACCCTCTCCCTCTTTCCACACCCACCCATCCCTCCCCTCCATCCACGTGCCTTCCTTGTGTCCTCAGTCTCTCAATTCGAGGCTTCCCTTTGTGGTGGAGGCACCCTTGAAGGTGCAATGCTATGCCTCGCCTGAGCGCACCGAAGTGCTCAGCCGTCCTGCCGACGATGACACCGCGGCGCCCACCGTGCATGCACGCGTGGGCGGCGTGCGACCGGTCGCGCTGGAGAGGGATGCCGAGAAGTTGCAGAAGTGGAGTGACTTGGCAACAAGTAAGAACTTGTTCGTTTGTGGGAGGGTCTAGCAGGGATTGCTGTTTACTGCACTATCAGCAAAGAAAAGCAGGTGTGTGCGTTGTCCTCGGTTGAGCATATGTGACTGTTCCGCAAGTGATACTGAGGAGAGCAGATCAGGAAAGTCAAACACGTCTATATACCCAGGTTTCATGTTTTATGTGGAAGGCCTTCTCTGGCAGTGGTCACGCTAGTGTTCTAGGAAAGACAATGTGAGATTCCATCCTCGAACCAAGATAGCAACGTGCTAATCAGTTTTGCAGATGAACTTCTTAGTGGCTGGGGAAGAGGCAACGCAAGGTTCACCGTCACCTTATTTTTGTGTACTGAGACAAAAGCCTCTCGGGTTTAGGATAACGCCTTCCCACCGCATCCTGCGACCTTCTTCTTCTTCTTCTTCTCTAAGCAGTCTAAGTGCAAAAGGTCTTTCTCTGAGACTTTCTGTTACGCCTTGCCGAGATGAGCACTGACTGTCCCAGTTGTCCTTTTATTCTCAGACAATCCCTACCACACAGCTCTCCCCAAGCCATTGGACTCGTCTTGGTTGAACTGAGGAGAGCTTTCTGCCGATGGCAAGGCAATCGAGAACCTTGAAGATCTTTACAAAGCCTTCCAGGAAATCGTAGATGCACAACTCTTTTGAGCACCATGTACCATACATGGAACGCCCATTTGTCATTTTGTTGAAATTATTGATAGCACATCAGAGCTGGAGGAGGCCCATCAGACACAGATCAAGAAAAACTCACTTCGGCCGTTTGCATCCATTGTGTGTGGTGACCCTCCTTCAGATCGGCCCAGGTTCGGATAGGGTAGGGTTGCTTTGATCTGGCAGGGTGAACAAGATCCTCGAAGGCAGACCGTGTCTCCCAGCTGTAAACGCCTCCAGTCTTGTGTTTTGCCATTTCTTGAACTGATTTTCGCTCGATGCTGAAGATTTGCCCAACAACTGTATCTGCGGGTGAGGAGAAGGGCCTGAACTATGGGGAGTCCTTCCAGACCTTGACCAGCGAGACCATCTTCGGCGAGAAGGCCGCTCTGGCGCGCCTCCGCAACCCATCCAAGACCAGCTGGGAGACACTTGGAATTACGACAGTGTGGAGTGCAGAGGTGGAGGCATTTTAATGCTTGTTGTGCTCTTGGATAGTACCCATGAGAATTCCCCTCAAGCATCCATTCCCCTGGTAGACCAATTAGTCCGTCTTTGTTGGCCGTTGGGGTGAATAAATGATGCGGTGTGTGGACTGATTTGTGCCTGAGGAAGTCCTTGCAGCTGTTGCACCCCGCCTTGCTGGATGGTGCTCTGCAACTTCTCGTGGAGTCCGCCTCCCGTGGTGCGCCGGGCACTACTTTCCTGCTGCTGGGTTGCATTGGAAGTTGGGATCAGGCACCGCACGAGGTGGATGTGGACTCTGAGACCCTGCAGCTTTGGACGAAGCCACCTCAGAATAAAGGACGCTGCAGTCGTTTGTGGACGTCAGGTGGCGTGGGATTTCTTACAAAAAGCGGTGGGACATTGGAAGCACCGCGTGGCCAAGGCCCTTCGCGGTGCGTCGCACCATCTTGGCGGCGCAGTGTCCAACGGGCGAGCTTTGGGCAGGCATCCAGGTGCAGGACACGGAGTGGTGGGCGAGAGTGTGAGCTTTGATCACACAGCGCTGGTTTTTTCTGGCTCCTAGCGATGCCAGGAGCCCCTAGTAGCGTCCTTGCTCCTAGTAGCGATGCCCTTTGCTCCTAGTAGCGTCCTCTACTCCCCCCAAGCAGAACGGCCGTCTACCCCGCAGGAGCGCTCTGAGACCTCGCTGGTGGCAGATGTCGAGGCACGCTTGCAGTGGAAGTCGTCCAGGTCGATTGAGCCCGCTCTTGATGGGTTCATGCCAGATTCGATTCTTCTCTTGGGTGTCACACACTTAGGATAGGGTGTACTGAACTGAAAGCGGTGCCACACGCCGGCCTAGGGTTCCATTTCCTAAGAATACCAGTAGGGAGCCAATGAATCCTGGGGGTCTTCAAACGGAGAGGTGGCCTGAAAGGAAAGGAAAAGAGCGACGAGCGCGAGTCGAACAAGGTGACGGCGGGCCGCTCGTGTCTGCCGATGCATTAGCCCTTTACCAAAATCTTAAAATTCAAGCAGGTACACAGAGCTGATCAGGCTCTGCTTCCCAGATGCAAGGTAGCTTTGTTAGGCGCAGTCCCTTGCATCTGCTGCGCCCCGCTGCTAAAAGCTCAAAACAATCCGAAAGGATCCCTATGACTCCAAGGGTTACACACACACGCCTCCCGAAGGGAGGCATGTGTGACCTCCATCCTGCCCGGAAAGGAGGTAGGCACATGTGCACGCAAAAGGGACAGATGAAAATGAGAAGGACAAGACAGACAAAGGTGTGTGTGGTTGCCGATGAAAAGGAACCAAGTGAAGAGGGACAACCGATGAGCCAAACCTCATTGTAACGAACCTGGGCCACCTGAACCTCGCTGTAAGTAAAGTACGCGTGCGTGTATGTGTACAAACTAAGGTCCGGACGAAAGTGCGCGCAAGAGAAAGAAAGGATGAGGATGAAGAGACATGAAGACAGAAAGACATGAAAGAAAAGAGGAAAAAGCCGTCTGTGGGGGCCGATGAAAGGGGAACCAAATGAACGGGGACAAACCGATGACAAACCAAACCTCATGCAGAAGCCTAGTTTGCTTGTAAACACGCCGCGCGCGAGGAAAGAGGGGGCAGGGGGAGGAAGAAAAGAGAGGGAAAGAAAGAAGGAGACAAAGGTGCTCCCAGCTACGACACATGCGTCCAGGGACGCACCAAAAAGAAGGGCTCCCAGCTATGACGAAGCATCCAGGGACACCCAGGGAAGAGGGTGAAGAGAGGAAAGAGAGAAGGAAAGAAAGAGAGAGGGAGAGAAAGGGAGAGGAAAGGAAGGTGTTCCCAGCTACGAACAATCGTCCAGGGACACACCCAAGAAAGAGAGGGGTGATCCTGAGTATTGCATTCAGGAAAGCCCCAGAAAGCAAAGAAAGAACGGGGGAGGGAAGGGGGAGAAGGGGGGGCTAAGTGCTCGACAGGTTCCAATGAACCTTGGACAAACTTCGGTCGCTGCGACCGCGTACGGCTTGCCCAGGGCTGCCACCTCTGACCGCTGCGGTCACGTAAAGGCACAAGCCAGCTTGGAATTCCAAAGATGGGACAAATCTGAATTCTCTCGGCCTAGGCCACCTTCGCCCGCTCTGGGCACTTACATCTCCGGGCAGGGGAGATAACGACGTACACCCGTTCGACGGGTCCACGGGAGGCACTCTGCGGGCTCATCCCGGGTTGGCACGAGGCCAAACACACTTAGGATAGGGTGTACTGAACTGAAAGCGGTGCCACACGCCGGCCTAGGGTTCCATTTCCTAAGAATACCAGTAGGGAGCCAGTGAATCCTGGGGGTCTTCAAACGGAGAGGTGGCCTGAAAGGAAAGGAAAAGAGCGACGAGCGTGAGTCGAACAAGGTGACGGCGGGCCGCTCGTGTCTGCCGATGCATTAGCCCGTTACCAAAATCTTAAAATTCAAGCAGGTACACAGAGCTGATCAGGCTCTGCTTCCCAGATGCAAGGTAGCTTTGTTAGGCGCAGTCCCTTGCATCTGCTGCGCCCCCCTGCTAAAAGCTCAAAGCAATCCGAAAGGATCCCTATGATTCCAAGGGTTACACACACACACACAC